TCTCTCCTTATAGCCACAACCCATCTTCAGGACGAAGCCCAGACTGTGACACTCTACTGCCTGGACACCTCTAGCCAGTTATAAAACCACGTAATGTACGCCTGTCTCCTTAAACAATAAAACCCCTTATAAAATCCAGATAATTTTTCTGCATAGATACCTCTTGTGAACCCTGGCTTGATAGAGCCAAGCAATTTAATAAATGGTCCAGTCATGTCCCACTACCTGGCAATAGGTGGCAGTCTAAGAATAGGAGATAGGACATGACTAGGGGACAGACTAAACTTTGGAGTCCACTGCCACTTGCAATCCAAGCAGGGCCTAGCCTTTAAAACTTGAGCCCTTGTATAGTCTCCTCACCCCAGCCCCTACATCCACCCCCAACTCCCCTGCATTTTCACTAGTTCACCTCACAAAAGGATACAAGTTTTCTGACAAATGAAAACCTCACAATGAGCCAGGTGTGGTGGCACATGCCTGTAATCCCAGTACTCAGGAGGCTGAGGAAAAAGGATCATCATGAGTTTTGAGGCCACACTGGGTACATGGTGAGTTCAAGGCCAGCCTGAACTACATAGTCAGATCCTATCTCAAAAAACAAAACAAAATCTTCACAATGAAATGTCAGGCAAATTAAAGCTTCACAATGAAAATTCAATCAGCAACCACAGGTGACACATCCTTTTAGGTAGGTACATAAACTTGAGGCCAAAGTTGTCATAATAATACCAGAACCAAGTAGAATAGAGAGAGAAAGAGCTATTAGAGAGGTAGAAAGAGGTATTAGTATTAGAGAAGTAACCCCAGGAAGCAATATCTATAGGCTAGCTCTAGGACCTAGGAGAATTACAGCAAAATTACTGAAGCACTGAGATTCTATATAGTTTAAAACGTAGAAGGCCACTCATTTCCTCTCTCAGCCTCATACAGAGAGAGTGCAAAGCTAGTCTATTCTCCACTTCTCCGCCTCTCTCAATTGACCAGCACCAGAAAAAAAAAAAAAAAAAAAAAAAGCCAAAAGATTTGAGTTTTCTGACAGATAAAAGCCTGAGCAGGATTGAGGGGCAAGATGGGGATCGAGGCTCCCCCAAGGTGAGAGGGGAAGGAAACCTCAGACATGTCCTGAAACTTTGCAGGAGACAGAGGCAGCAGGTTGATTAGTCTGGCAGAGGAAATTTCAAGGCAACCCAACATTCAGGCATGTACAATGTTGGCTACTTTTACCAAAATGACCAAGGACCAAAATAATTTTAATTTTTTTCTGGAGTCTATTAAGGAAATGCCTGTGAATTTGGGGCCTGTAAAGTGGGGCAGAGGAGAAAATGTGATTTGTAAAAAGATTAGCATTAAAATTAAGCAAAGTGGGCCAGGGATTTAGCTCAGTGGTGCTGCACCTGCCTCACAAGTACAAGGTTCTGAGTTTGACCCCTGTACAAAAAAAAAAAAAAAAAAAATTAAGCAAAGTATTTTGCATTAAAACAATAGGAAAAATGCCTTGACAGCATCTCCACCCTTTTGCATACTCCAAGGTGTAAAGCTGAAAAACTTTATTTTGAGAAGACAGCCCCAGGGCACCCTGTTGGACAGGGACCAGGATTCAGTTCACAGTGCTCAGCCGTCCAGGTACTCAGAGGTCTCTGTAGCCATGATCCATGAGTGTCCAGCTACTGCTGAAGCTGGCAGCAGAGCTTGGTGTCATCCATATCATGCTGGTTTTCCAGGCACGCAGAATGTAAAAGTTATGGTGACATGGAGGCTTCCACCCAAATTTCAGAAGAAGGTTGGGAGGCCAGGAAGTGAATTTGTAAGAGTGATGTTGAAGGTACAATGGAGATCCCGTGAAATTGGAATAGCCAGGGACAAGGAACATCTAAGGAAAACTGCAAGTAGTGGGCAAAGTCACCCAAGAGAAAGGCCATGAAGGCTTCAACTGGCCATGCCACATGGGCCATTTAGAGCTCACATCAACTTGCTTCTGGTGCTAGACGTGGTGCTACAGAATTTAATGTTTGCTGTGCTGGGATTGGTTTTGCTTTAGTCGACTCCTATCTATCTTCCTATTTCTCCCTTTTGGAATGGGAATGCTTGTCCTGTGCCAATATGTGTCAGCATGTTTAACTTTCTTTTTAATTTTTTACAGGGGCTTACAGAAGTTTGCCTCAAATCTCAGAAGAGACTTCGGACTAGGACATTTTGGCAATGCTGGAACTGTTAAAACTTTGGTAACTCCTAGAGACAGACTAAATGCATTTTGCATAAAGAGATATCCATGAGTCTTTTGGGAGGCCGGGGGCAGAATGTTATGGTTTGGATCTGGAATGTCCTGCAAAAGACTCATGTGTTCAGAGGCTGGGCTTTTGGAACGTGACTGGATTATAGGAGTGGTATAATCATCAATTCATGAACCCACTGATGAATCCATAGCTGAATGAGCTAGGTGGGACCTGGTCAGAATGATAGCACTTTTGTAAATAATCTAAAAACCTAAAAAATGTTAGGAATGTGTAAAATGACTTTTGCTGTCTCTAACAGCAAACTGCTTTGTTTAGTTCAAAATTAACAGACCCTGGAGGCACTGACCATGAAGTGGGACATCTGGCCTCATCCCTGACCTTGAACACCCTCTTCCTATGCACTAGAATAGAGAGCTAGAGGAATTTTGAGGTAAACTCCCTAACTACGAGGAATTGTTAGGTCTGGGTTAAAGGTGACTGTCTGGTTACTATAATTTGCACCTGGGTAATGTGAACTGAGGAAATAAAATCTAACCACATGAATGAGCTCATAGCTGTAAAACCTATAGAAGAGGGAGCTGCAACCCAGAAAGAAGTAGATCACTGGCACTGCCTTTTTGAATGTGATCAACCCTTTTCCGACAAAACAAATTTTTTATTTTACTTCCATTCAGCTCGTCTGCATGTGTGTGTCACTTGCCAGTTCCTTCCACAAGAAGAGGTGAGTAATTGGGGACATTGTCTAAAAGGGTACATCGCCCTCTCTGACTCTTCTCTTTGTTCTCTGCCTCCTGGCTGCCACGAGGTGAGCAGTTTTCCTTCATTTTGCCTCTCTGCCATGATGTTCTGGCCTTGGATTCAGACAGTTGTGGACTGAAAATGTTAGCCAAATTAAACCTCTCCTCCTCTAATGTGGGTGTTTGGTACTGTGTCACAGTGACACAGTGAGGAAGTGACTAAAACAGGGGCAGTGTGCCAGGACCTATGGGGTGAGCAGACTGACCGAGAACAGAGGTTAGAGAGGTTATGCCTTGGAATGAGGTTCTTGAATGGTTTGAGCAGAAGAGCTGCTGCTCTTATGGCTGTACTTAAGGATGAGATGACAGTTTGCCTTGAGAACTTTGAGTGGGGAAAGACTGAAAGGGAAAGTTTTTTCCTCCAAGATGTTCCTGGCAAGACCTGAGATCCTTTGAACTTCCATGGCCAAGGAATCATAACGTGCTCACCTCTCTTCCCCACCCCTCATCACCACTCTCTCCTGCGCTGCTGCGTCCTGACACTCGAGGGAATTTCTGGAATTGAAGGCCAGAATCCTACATTGCTCAGAATGGGGTTGCTGATGGGTTTTGAAGGCACCAGATTTCCAGAGCCCAAAGGAAAGCGGAGAAAGTGCAAGTGCCCTTGGCTCCCTGGAGGAGGCAGCTCAGGGCTGGTCACTTTCTCCCTCTTCCAATATCAACTTCCGGCTCCTCTTTTTTCCTGAAAGTGCCCCTGCCACTGGCTTGTCCAAAGCCATCCTCTGGGTGACTAAGCTACATGTAGGGGGACAGTGTCAGCCTGCAGGACTCCTGCAACTCCCATGTCTACTGATGCCCACAGCCTTTCAGATTCCAGAAGGAACCCCTGATCCTGGGCCCTTGTGTTTATCTTCATCTTATTGCTATACCTTTTAAAATGTAAAGATAATTAAATAAAACATACGCCATCTATAAAAATGAATATATAATATAAAGGTACAGTTTGAGGACCAAAATAAACTTGTGATATCTTCAGCCTAAGAAATTTACCATTACTATGATATTTAGAGCCATGATATATCTGCTCTCACTTCATATCTGTCCTTATCCTACTTTTAGAATTCATTAATAACTAGATTTGGGGATGGTAATCATTGCCTTACTTTTCTTGCACATTCTGGGCAGGGTGTGGTTTTTTGTTTTTTTTCCCAAAATATTGAACAAGGGACATTGTATTATTTAAAGCTTATCAATTTGAGAAGCACATTGCAGATTGTAGGGGACTCCTTACAAAGGTATAGGTATGACAGCCAAGGGAGCTGCAGATCACATTAATTGCCTATGTGAATTAAACCACCCATAATGAGGTAGGTAATCACGGTCACCAGACTGTAATGTTGGCCTGGCATTTTGTCTTCACCTGGGCATTGTATCGTGTTAAGGGTTCCTTGCTACACGGGGAATAGTTCTCTGGGCTCACACCCATACTGGTGGACATGTTGTGAGAAAGCAAAAGAACGTGGTACCCCGTATGGGTTTTAAACTGAATGCTGGCAGAGCATGGTCCCTCTCTGGTCTCCAGAAGAGGTAGAGAAATGAACATCTCTGGCTCCTACATCCTGACAACACAATGACTCATCACAGAGTGTGGGGAGACTCCAGCAAGGGAGAAATCCTTTGCATGAGCTCTGCTGAGTATATGGGGGGGGCACCAGCTGCAGGTTGTGCAAAGGGGGTGGCATTTTCAACACATGGGCTCTGAATGGGCTCTCGGTCACTGAGAATAAGAGAAGCCAATGTCACTGAGGTCAGGGGTGTCAGCACTAGTGCAGGCAGCTTCTCTCACAGAGTTTCTTCCTCCTACACAACCCCTGCATCACATCCGGAGTGGGTGGCCAGGAAGCAAAGAGAAAAAGATGATGAGAGGTCTGGACACATTCGTTGAATTCTGTGAGGAGGCCCCATTCTGTCTCCTGGGCATGGTGCTGGTGCAGGTGACCTCAATGCTGCAGAAACGTCCCCAGGAGACATGGCCTTGTGGCTTCCTTTGACTCTGCTCCTCCTGCAGGTCCCAGGTGAGAGGACCCAACCCTGGATAGGGAAACTCCATCCTGAGTGGGAGAGTGAGAGCTGGGACAGGAGACGGGGAAGGTGTGGCTTTTAGAGGTGAGTGGGTCTGGGAGAAGGGTGGAAGGAGGGCAGAGGAGGGGCCAGAAGTGGCCAGCACCTGCCTCACAGGGCCACCAGGATACAGTGCAGAGTGTGAAGGAGCTGAAAGCCCTGCACCCCAGACAGCCAGTCCTCCCTAAGACACAGATATGACAGACCCTGCTGCATTCACACATTCCAAATGATGTCTGAGTGCAGCACTCGCACAAGAACATACACTCAGGTAGGCACACCCACACGTCAATGCACACACACACATGCACAGTGTACATACGTAGACATAGTCTCACACTTATGTACACACAGTGATTTCCTACCTGGCCCTGTGCATCCCCACGGACAGCCCTCTCCCTGGATTCCTGCCCTTGGCACAGCTCATTTCCCTGGTTGCCTCCTCTAAATCCGAGGGCCCCAAGGACCTAACTCCAAGGAGACCCTGACCCCAACCACTTCTGAGGCCCAGAATATGTTTTCCAGGCTGTTTCCTCCTGAGCGGCCCCAGCAAGGTGACCGGCACTGTGGGGGGATCCCTGAGTGTGCAGTGCAGGTACGAGGAGGAACACGAAACACATGACAAGTACTGGTGTAGAAGATCACACGTGCTTCTATGTGACAAGATTGTGGAGACCAAAGGCTCAATGAGAAAAGCAACGAGTGGCCGAGTGACCATCAGGGTCCATCCTGCCAGCCTCAGCTTCACAGTGACCTTGGAGAGCCTCACCCTGGAGGATGAAGGCACCTACTCGTGTGGGGTCGATAAACCGTGGCTAGATTCCACCTTCAAGGTTGTGGTGTCTGTGCTCCCAGGTGAGTCCCCTTCTCATCGGAGCCAGAGCTGCCCAAACCTAGGCCTGGTCATTCCCTACCTGAAATAATACCAGGGTGGGAGAGAATGAGCTGGTGGGTCAGTGACTCAGCACCCAGAGAGAGAGAGAGACAGACAGAGACAGACACAGAGAGAGAGAGAGAGAGAGAGAGTATGTGCATGTGTGTGTGTGTGTCTATGTGTGTGTGTTTCTATGTGTGTCTGACTGTCTGTCTTTCTCTCTGTCTTCTGTGCCTGAGTACAGATGTATATTTGCATATTCACACACAGCCCCCCGGGAACACTTGTGTTGTTTGAGACCCTCTACGAGCCCCACCCTGACAGCTTCAGGCCTGAGTCTTTGTCAGGTTTTGGCTAGGACCATCCCTGAGGCCAAGCCTCTTTGCTGACTGACTGCTCTATCTAGGGTCTTATCCTTTGTGAAAGGGTCCTCACATCTCACCAGGACCTGACTCTCTTTCCCTACAGGAATGGGACCCTTAGGGAATGTGCTCCTTGCTATCAAAGCTGTCAGGACCTGGGTCTGAGAGGACACTTCCCTGATCTGGAAGGTTCTGAGACATCAGCCTGACTGGGTCCTCGGGGCTTCTAGGTGGTCACCAGAGGGATACGGGAAGGAACTGGGACCCCTGTGTGGCTTCCTCTTTCTTTGAGAGACCATGCCCAGCCCCACCATGGTTGATCTGTCTCCCCAGACTGGGCACCTTTTATAGGCTTTCATTGGTATGGACCCCAGTGCCCCCCCCACATCTATAGAACATTCATCCTTAATGGAAGCCCCTTGTTTCATGGGACCCAGGCCCGGTACCCCTTTGTAAGGGCTAGGCAGCATGCCCAGGGCTGGAATTCTGAAGTTGTCTCTAGTTCCTTCATCTGAATTCTCTCTTTTGGTTTCAGTTCTCCTAAGCACAAACTTCTTTCCCCAGCCCTTTGTGGGTTCATACTGAAGCACAAGAAACTAAAGTCCCGCTGATATTGCTGGGTATCTGAAAGGAATATCACTGTCTATCTGGCCTTGGGTCAGGCCACTCTCCACAGGGTCTACCAGATGTCTATCTCCCTCGATCTTTCTTCTTGTTTATTCCTTCGTTAGAGAGTGCTATCCAGTGGAGTGTTTGGGGCCATGAGCCTGGATGGCTGTGTAGGGTTCATATTCATCATAGATACCCCTACCATCCCTGTTCTATTGCAGCATCACTCAGCCATCAGCCTTGCCCCAGAAACCTACTTTTCTTATTTCTCCACATCAATCTCTGCTCAGTAGACTGGGTCAGAGAGAGTTTTCAGTAGACTGAGAAGAGTGAGTAGACTGGCTTCATGTGTCCCCAGGAAGGATAAAGGAGGGTACTGAAGTTTGGTTGGGGTTGAATTAAACCTGGTACCAAGTATCTACACAAATGCTCAAATCCTCCTGCTTAGCAAGCCATTTCTCATATATGCAAGTGTCACCTGCCACAGTGCACTTTTGATGGAATGACAATAATAGCCCTGGTCAGGACTACGTGTGGCCATGAGACTTGTTCACTAAGAGGCCCAGAGGCTATGGAGGTGACAATGAGTGGGAGACCCTGGGGAGGTCATTGGGCCTGACCTTTGTTTTACTCTCAGCCTCAGCCACAGCCACAGCCTCCTACCTTGAGGGTATCAGAAGCACCGTGGGGCCTCCTCTGTTCCTGTCCATGCATACTTGGCACAGCAGCACCAAACAGGACACCTCCAGACCCAGTCCACAGCCTTGGTAAGGACCTGCATCTGGACGGTGTGCCTGTGCTGGGTGAAGGGAGGTAGAGGGACTGTGTCTCCCTCCTCTGGGCCACTCCTGAATCTACCAATCACACACTGTAGAGTGGATCCTGCCAAGTGTCAGGGCCTCTTTTCAAGGTTGGAACACAGCAGGCCCCTCTCAGACTCAGTCCTGCTCAGATGAAGTTTGTGCTTTACCCAGTGGGTTCACACAGTGAACAATTCAGCACAGAAAATTCTATATCAATGCAGGAATCCAGATGAAAGTGTCAAGAAACGGTTGCCAAGAAACAACTTGGGTTGGGAAAATATGTGGAGGGAGGTGGGGCTGCTATCTTCTACATAATCAGGGACCATCAGGGGAGGCCTCGCTCATTAGAAGCCACAGGTGTGAAGGCTGCAAAGTTGGAGGCACCAGGCATCCAGAATTCTGAAGTGAGTGGTCCGAGCAGAGCGGGTAGTAAGCACAAATGTTCTGTTGAGTAGTCACCGGACCCTGGCCAGGCTGAGAAGAGCAGGTGCTCTTTCCTCTGCCTCCCTTCTCCACCATCACTGGTCACAAGTGTCAGCTTGTTTTGACAAATTCAGTCCCCTAAGTATGTAGACTTGAGCTGAGCCCTTCAATCATTTCACCAATAATCATGAATTCTTCACGCTGACACTGTGAAGGTCCATGGTGGGCACCAGTCATTGTCTGTGATGAGACAAGGCCCACTCCTCTGGAAATACTGTAAAGAGAGGAGGAAGCATGAAACTAATAGTCTCATTTTCTACTCCTGTACTCTAACTACTAGTCCCTGAATGTGAAAGAACAAGGTAGAAATCTTTCTCCTGGACAAAGTTCCCTCCTGTGTTCCTGGGCTCCCCTCACCTCCTCATGTCCCTGCCCTTTCTAGGTCTACAGGCCCTAGTTCAAGGCCCTAAGCTATCTGTCAGGGACATGGGTCCTTCAGGTAGATCTGCCTTGTCCAGGTGTGGACTGTATACAGTTTTCTGTGGATACAGAAATTGTATAAAGGACAGAGGCAAGATTCGAGGCACCAGGGCCTCCTCCAGTGAAGAGGCTCATTGTATTATGTCCCCCACAGGTCCCTGTTCAGCAGCATTCACTTCCTGCTCCTGGTTTTCCTGAAGGTTCCCCTGTTCCTGAGCATGCTCAGTGCTGTCCTTTGGGTGAACAGGCCTCAAAGAGGCTCTGGATGGAGGTAAAATCATCCTGAGTATGAGAACCAGTGGCATTTCTTGTCCATCTAGGCCCTGTCCAGAGACACAACCCCTCTGGTGGATGAGGATGACCTCTGACCAATGAACCATCTATCATTCTTCACATATATATTGGAATAATCTTTGTAATCTTCTTTAAAATCTTTCCTTGTTCACCATCCTCATATACTAAAAGGGTTTCTAATCAATATTTCCTCCTTGAAGTAAGACTGCATATCAGTTTTGCATATATACCTGCCAGTTTAACTTTAGGTCACTGACAAATACTTCTGAGACCCTTGAAGTCTTCAATCCTTCCTGGCATGTGGTTTTGCTTTTGTTTCACTGTTTTCACAGCTGAGGGCAGTTGTTTTACCTGCCCATGACCATTACACCCGTGTACATCCACACTAGTTGGGAATGGGAGCCAGTGTGTGATTTTCCCAGTCACTGTATTAATCTACTTAATTATGCATTTGTTAGTTCATGACAGTAACAATGTAGAGCTTCAGTGAATGTAGAAGATCAGTGTTATAAATTCTCAGTGGCATAGTAAGTTCCTTCTTTACTCCTTCCTCAAGGTGATCTGACATCTTCATCCAGAACTATGGGTTCTTGGACCAGCTTATGACTGGAAGAAGTTAATTGATGAGATGTGACAACATTTTCTTTAGGTGATCGAGTCTTTGTTCACTAGTATAGACCTTGTCTGTTATGTGGATAAAAGAATGATTGTCTGCTACCCACTGGTCCAGGGACACCATGATGAGATTGCCAACTCTAAAGACCAAAATATGAGGCACGTGATCACAACACTCACCCAGCACAGATGTCACCTGCACCAGCACAGGTGGGCCGTTGCCGAAGATGTTAGATGGTAGAATTAATCTACTATCTTTCTCCAAAGAAGTCTGAAGGACATCCAGGATTGGCCATCTTTTTTTAAATTTATTTTTTTAAGTTTAATTTTTTATTAGTACACATTTGCAGTACATGAATAATGATTACATTCCCCATGCGAAGTTGGTACATGTTCACAATGCATCTTAATTCATTTTTCATCCCCCCTCCTTCCCCACTCCCTCCATCTCTTGCAAAAGTCTATCCTTTTCCTTTTTGCTTTTATCTGTTTGCTTTTATCTATCTTTTATTTTGCTCTTTATTTATATTTTGGGTTTCTCATATAAGAGAAACCACCTGATATTTAGGTTGTATGTCTGAACCACATCATATTTTCCTTGATTTTTTCATTTAACATTATGGTGTCAATGTGTATTCCTTTTCTTATGAATGATTCAAGTTTATCCTTCTTTATAATAAAGTAATACTCCATTGTGTATAAATACCACATTCTCTCTATCCATTTGTCTGTTGATGGACAGATAGGATTCTCCCGAGATGTAGCTAGTATGAATTGTGCTGCTATAAACATGGGACTAGGGATCTTTACCCAGTGTTTCCGTTCAGCAAATATTTGCTGAGGGTGTACCATGCATCAGACAATGATCAAGTATTGAAGTTCAGCAGCGAATAAACATGAAAGGTTTAAATGCTATCCTAAGCTGGTTTCAAACTGTCCTTGAGTAGATTCCAGTGGCACTTGCTGAAAAACATCTTAAGCCTTTTGTCAGGTGAGGAATTTTTAGCCAGGTGTGTCCAGATCTTAACTTGTTTCCATTTCTCAAGTGAATTCTCCCACGTTTCAAGGAAGAGGTACTTCTAGTACTAGGCACATCCTTTCAGAACATGTAGAGGAGGGGTTTTTCAATGGTTTTAGATGAAATCAACATAATACCAATACTACAACCTGGCCAACATCACATACATGGAAAAGAAAGCATATTCCACTCTCAGTTATAAATACTGATGCAATAGTTCTTAAATAAAGTATTAGAGGATAAAATCTAGACTACACTGAAAGAATAATTGATTCTAGGAATCATTTCTAAGAATGTGAGGGTGACTCATTTGGCAACTAGCTTAGTGTCATTAATCATTGGAGTGATTTAGAGGAGAAAAATATAATCTCCACAAAAAGAAAAGACATTTCACAACATTCAAAACCCATTCCTGCCTTTTTTCCATGAAAACTTTAAGCTCATTTATGAGATATTTATTAAAATAACATATTTTAGGAAAAATCAATACATGGCCTGTATTAGCACTGAAAGCTATATACCATCACACACACCAAAAAAAAAATGTCATTTTGGAAAATTGACTTCTGATTTATGGCCAGTTTTATTTCAGAGTGAGTGCCACAGAATAACAGTCTTAAAGGCTGGCAGGTAGGACAAGGAATGCCCTTGCTTTGTAGGAATTTCTTCTTCATACTGTCAGGTACCAGAGCTCTGACTATCCAAGTAATTTCAGCCCCAAATCACCAACCGTAATGCATTCTAGTCTTTTTCCTTTAATTGCCTCTTCACAGAGTGCCTTCAATTGATCCTTCCTGGCATATTCAACTAGCTTAGCTCTCAGGAATGCTTTGTGGTGATCTCTTCCTCCAGTCCATCGGCTTTTGGTCGATAGCTGTATATTTCTGTTCATTTTGCTAACCACAGTCCTCAGCCACTCGAACTGAAACCCCAAGTTCCTCCAATAAAGCAGCCTTAATAAAGTAACAATCTCTGCTCCTCTTGTCTCTCTTGCTCTCATCTGTCACTGTCTTCTAGCATCACACATGGTAAGCCACCGTGGAAGGCTCAGAGACAAGACAGGTATTCCCACTTGCACCTACAACACCTGGCATTGCCCACCAGCATGTCTGGACCAATGCCATCAACTAGAAACACACAAGTGGCACCATCACAAGAAAAGGGAAGGGAACCCTATCAATAGAAGTGTTTTATGCCTAGACAACCCAAGAAAATCAATTTAATAACCCAAACAATGAGCTTATTGTTCACAAAAACAATATCTAACCATCAATTGTTTTCTTTGTGTGTGTGTGTGTGTGTGTGTGTGTGTGTGTGTGTGTATTTTGGTTGTTTGTTTGTTTGGTTGGTTGGTTTTTTTGAGACAGGGTCTCACTATGTAGATGAGCCTGACCTGGAACTCCCTCTGTAGCCCAGGCTGGTCTCAAACTCACAGCGATCCTCCTGCCTCAGCCTCCTGAATGCTGGGATTACAGGCATGCACCACCACGCCCGGCTTATTAATCGTTTTCTTATACACAAATAGCAGCCAGTTCAAAAGTACCATAGAGGAAGAGAATTGAATCTATAAGAAATAGAACCTCCTCCATAAATAAAGATATTTTTTAAACCCTACAAATATGTGCAACAATAAATATGTAAGAACTCGGAAAGAAATCATTAAAATTCTGAGACATAAATATAGTTAAATATATTTCCACCTTGGTCTTTCAAATGAGAGGAGGGAGGGAGGGAGAGGGAGAGGGAATGGGAAGGGAGGACAGGGGAGAGGAGAGGAGAGAGTCGCTTTTTCCTTCAGCCACTTCTTGGTCTGTCCCTGAGGAAGCTAGGAGCAAAGCAACGTGAAACCACACAGACTCTGCCTCAAGTGCTCCTGTTGGTTATTAAAGACTTGGAATGTTCCATGTTGTTTTCTGGGGGTATCTGTCCCTCCCCCAGCCACCCACAACTGTTCTTCACACTAACTCATGGAACTCCTCTGACAAACGTGGCCGGATTAAGATTCTTTCCTTCAATATGGACCTAGACCCTGCTACAAAAAAAAAGGATGAACCTAGAAAACCCAGTGTCTGTGAACATGTGCCTTCCTTGAGATCAGTGTGAACTGCCTCACAGGTACAGGAGACCCTCTCCCCTATGCCCTTGATTGTGCATACGTGGCCATGTGTCATTCAGGTTTTGAGTGTCTGTTGAAATCCCTGACCCCCTGGGGTGCCCCCATTTCACCCGACCAACTCGCCAACTCAACTTTGGTGTCATGATCCCAAAGCCCTTGAGTAATTTTTCATGGTGATCGTGTGGACTGACTGGACTGAAGAGCCCTCAGTCAGAGACCTCCTAACATGTCCCTTCCTCTGGGTCCCTAGCAGGGACTCAGCAGACCAACATGGATCCACCCGACCAACTTTAGAGGCTCCCTGGCCCAGGTCAACATCTACACTTGCCTTTCTGAAAGGCCTCTCCAACCGACCTCCCCATCTCCTCCTGCAGCCCACCCTTCCCCTATTCACTTTTCACAATGGTGCAGTATTAATGTTCTCAGAGAATCATCGGTCTCACTGCCTTGACTCAAACATCAGGCAGCCTCTTCTACTTGTGAACAATCCAAACTCCTTGCCTCATGATTTGGCTTCTGCCTGTCTTGGTTCCCTCCCCGCTTCATTCTCTCCTTTGCTCACTCTGTCCTTGCCCAGGAAGAAGACATCAGTCTTCATGTACGCACTGAGGGGTTGTTGATGTGGTCTCTTTGGAGGGTAAGAGGCCCGAGGGCCTGCTGTATCCCTGAGGCTTCTCCTCTTGGGAGCCAGCCTCCTCCACCAGGCCAGTCTGGGGACTCCTGTGTCTCCTTCCTGCTTCCTTCTCAGGTCCATGTAACCTTGCTGTGTAATGCTCAGCCCTTTGAGGACACATAGGACAGGGTCTTCTTATAGACTCAGGACCTTCTGTTTTTTCTTTCTACTCATGTAACACAGGAGGTCATTGCTTCTGCCCAAACTTCTCTCAAAAGGCCTCTTTCTTCAGTGATCCTGACTTCTCTCTACATCTATCTCATATATAGAGATATATAGAGAAATACCTGTCCATGTATCTCTGTACATCTCTATCTGGCCTTCTGTCTTCTCCTCAGAGACTTTCAGGGCTTAGAAGGTTCACCTTCCTTGCCAGATCTAGCAGCTGTAACTAACACATACTGAAGGCTTGTGTGCTCAGCTCTGTGCTAAAAGCTACCCACACTTCATCCACTTAACTCTACTGAACAGGTGAGATTATCATTGTCATCTGCTTTTTATATGAATAGACAGAGGCTCAGAAAGGGTCAGTGAATTGCCCACTGTCAACCAGGAAATTAAGTGGCAAAATGTGCCTTCAAACCCATGTGGTAGGCCTCTAAGCCCACACTTCCAAGAACTGTACTGTACTGGAGTCCAGCTGAAACTATGGCAGCCATGGGATGGGAACATTGCACAACAGGCAAGAAAACAAAGCAGATTTAGGACGGTCCCCTGTACGGGAAGTTCTCACTGTGCTCAAGGGCTGCCTGCCCTGGGACCGACTGGAATCCAGGTGAGGTGAGGTAAAACAGGAAGATAGATATCTGAGGCACCAGCTGAGAAGTGAGTGGCCCAGAGTAAGGGGAAGAGGGAGCAAAAGTCCCCTGGAGGATTCATGACTGGATTTCAGGGCTCTCACAAGAGAACACAGACTCCCTTGGCAAAGGTCCTTGATGCAAAGTTGAGAGCCTGGTGAGACTCTGGGACTTGGATGGTTCATTGGTGACCTAGAAGCTCCAGTCTACAGAGAGAAGTTGCCTCTCCCTCCCCCTTAAGAGGAAAGAGGGGGGATCTGGGAGGTTCTGGGAGGAGGGCCTGTAAAGCTGACAGGTGTATCTGTACTCACTGCGGTGTCACATGGCCACATGTCCCCAGATCACAGTCAAGGAGTGGGGGGGGGAGAAACTGGAGAGAGAGATAGCAAGGCAGGCAGAGAGAAGCAAAGAGAGTTAGTTGGCTGCAGGCAGGACAATAAGGAAAGGAAAACCACTTTCTGGGTTTGTTTGTCCCTCTTTCTACCACACTCCTCATCCCTATGTCCCTTGATAGCTAATCCAACTGTCAGGCTTGCTGCCGAACAAGAGAAATGACAGTGTCCCTCCCAAACTTTCCCAATACCCACATGACATAACATAGGGAGAGAGGCGAGCAGAGAAGCATCTCAGGAGGCTGCTCATTTCTTACCCCTGTGTCCCCACAGGTCCCTGCTCGGTGGCATCTACTGCCCACTGCTGGTCTTCCTTGGGTGCTTGCTCCTGAGCATGTTCAGCACCATCCTCTGGTTGAGCAGGGCTCAGAGGGGACTAGGGAGGGTGAAGTCAGCCCAGCCAAGGGAATCTACCATGCAGTGCACTGTTCCAGAAAAATGCAGGCATCAGCCTAGAGGGGAGA